GATAGAATCTAGCATATTACAAACCATACGATTCAAATAAAGCCTTAGGAACTACCCACGATATTAAAGAATTCAATTTAGGCCATTACTGAAAAAGTCAACACCCAGGCCCGCTTGGTCCATACCCAAAATTCGGGCCAAAATTCAATTAACCATTCACCCCCGAGCCCGGATATATAATTGATTTTGGATTCCGACCTCAATTTGAGGTCTAAATCCCCAAATTTCAAAATCCCTAGTTTCTACCCAAAAATTCTCAATTCCACCATAAAAACCTTAGATTTTAGGTTGAAATCTTGTGAAATGTAGTGAAAGATTGAAAGGAAATAGTTTAGAATCACTTACCAATGATTAGAGGAAGAAGGATTCTTTGGAAAATCGCCTCTTATGTTTCTAGGTTTGAAAATTTGAAGAATTGGAGAAAATCCCGTCTAAGTCATTTTTCCCCAGCTGCAGATGTCGCAAAATGCGACCTGAGCTTCGCAAATGCGAGAAAAGCTTCACAAATGCGAAACTCCTACACTTCTGCTGCCTTCGCAAATGCGAACAAAATGTTCATAAATGCGGAACCTGAGGATCGAAAATGCGACCTTTGTCTTCGCAAATGCGAAGTTGTCCCTCCCAGCCCACTGCTCGCAAATGCGATGACCTCTTAGCAAATGCGAAGTTTACAAATTTGGTGCATCAACTACTATTTTTTTTAAAGTTCAAATGCTCCATAGCCTATCTGAAACTCACCCGAGTGCTTGGGGCTCCAAGCCAAAAGTGCACACTAGTCTAAAAATATCATACGAACTTGCTGCACGATCAAATCACCAAAATAACACCTAGAACTACGAATTGAGCACCAAATCGAACGATATTTTCAAGAAAATTTTAAAACTTCTAATTTCTCAACTGGACGTCCGAATCACATCAAACCAACTCCGTTTCTCACAAAATTTCACAGACAAATCATAAATATTATATTGATCCTGTACCAGGCTCCGAAACCAAAATGCAAACCCGGTATCAACAAGGCCAAACATTAATCAATTCGTAAAAATCATTAAATTTTCAAACTTTTAATTTTCAACAAAAATTCATAACTCCAGCTAGGAACCTCTGAATTCGATTTCGGGCATACGCCTAGGTCTCATATTTTAATACGGACCCACTGGGACCGTCAAAATATGGTTCTAGGTCCGTTTACTCAAAACGTTGACCGAAATCAACTAAAATTAACTTTTAAGGCAAAAATTCTTATTTTTATTAGTTTTAGCATATAAGCCTTCCGGGTCAATACCCAGACTGCACACACATATTGAGGAAGGCTAAAATGAGGTTCTACTTTGAAATACAGAATTTGGTTCTAATACATAAGATGACCTATCGGGTCATCACACTAGGTTCGGCCGAATAAGTAGAACCAGAATTTTTATTCAGGGGTGTCAAAATTTAAAGAAATAAATACACAAATAAATCAAGGGAATGCAATACATATTATATTATATATAATTTTTATCTATCTAAGCAGTGTGGTGTTTCGACGAAGGAGTGCCACTTGAAATAATGTAACGCCGCCATTAGTCCAAACCCGCAACGGAAGAGCTAGCTCCAAAGCCATTAATCACGATAAGATATATATATATATTAAAAGCACAAAGGCCCTTAGCGAAATATCATTCGCCTTTTTAACCCTCTAAAAATAGATTTCACATTGGATAAAATAGTCATTTAATTAATTCCCTAATATTTAGAACTCTAAAATTGACTAAAATTTTGATTATTAAATCTTTCTTTTTTTGTGGGGGTAAGAAGTCCTAAAGTTTAGGACTTTAATATCAATTAGTATTTTATCATACATATATTTTTTCCTTGTTTAAACTTCATATATAACGTAATAATAATTATTTTCATATTACTTTTAGTGGAGGTAGATTCTATGGAAAAAAGAGTAAACTAACGTTTGTTTTAATGAAATTAAAGTAACTAATAGATCATGCAACTTTATGCCTAATATTTAAAAAGATCTTTAGGATTTTAAATAAATAATATAACTTTCCCATGTTTAGTTCGTGTATTAGTTGTAAAAATATCATCTACGACATTTAGAAATAATACCAAGAAAACTTTATCATGAATAAAATGTGCAAATATATATGTAAAATAAAGGTTAATACTTTAAAGGATATCACTTTCTAGCACCTAATTTTTTTTTGTTAAATCTTTATCTTGGACTTGAAAGCCAATTAATATTTTAATTATCTTACATAAATTATTTTATTTGAATAATGTAACATAACTATAATTCCTTTCATGCTATTATATGTGAACTATAATAGTTCATATATATTTGAACTACTTTGCTCTCCAAACAATATTTTTCTATTTAGTAATTTTTTATGTATAATATCTTTAAAAATTACCCTTAATAATTAAAATAAATGATTAAGATAATATTCAAAAATATAAATGAGAGAGAGAGAGAGAAAGAGGGAGAGAGAGAGAAGGAGAGACTAGAAAAGTATTTGGTAACACTAATGATTCTGCAAACACAAATATCCAGATCGATTTTTTATCCCTTAGTACAGAATTTATAGTAAATAAAATTATAGTTAAAGTTAAATATTTAAAATTTGGGTGAACTGATATTAAGAATTTGAATCAATAAAAATAAATTATTTTCTTTAATGTTGAGAACAAATACTTAAGTTTTTGAATTAACTAATTAACAAAATAATTCTATCCAATTCCTTTCTAAATTTATCATATTAGTTAAAAAAATAATTTAAGTTGAAAAAACTCTTAGGATACATAAATTTATTTCAATAAAAAGAGCATTGGTGGTTAAAGCAATCAGAAAATAAAATATAATCGGTTATGATATAGTATTAAGAGTTAATTAAAATAATTTAAATTTGAAACAATAAGGATGAAATAATAGAAGATACTTTATTTGAATTGTCATTAATTTTTTCTCTCATTTTGCATTTGTTACAACAAATGACAGCTCCCTGTATCTTTTGAATTGTCGTTAGATAATTTTTTTTTTGTGATCTTGACCGTTAACACTCACTAGATTTCTCTTCAATCATGATAAATATTATGAGAATTCTTCCTTTTTAAATGTTTTTATCGTGTTTTGTATATTTTGGATATATTGAATACAATTACTATGTTAATGTAATAACATTAATTTTTAGTATTAAAAAAATATTGCATAGCATAAACTGTTATTTTTAATAATTTATGCTTTATATATATATATATATATATGGAGATCAAAACTGTAAGTGTGAAATGCGGAGAGCATTTTCCAAGGACGGAAATTAAAACGAGCTGTAGGCACATTGTCAAAAGATATTTTTGACATTAACAAAGTCAAAAGATAATTGCATGAAGTTTCTATCAAATATTGACAAAAGATTCAAGTACAGTTTGACGATTTTTCATACCAATATTAATATTACTGGTAATAGAATTATGTATAATTATTTTTAACTGAAAAACTTACTTATTGACAAATTGTTACAAAGAACATACTTGAAGGACGTATTCAGCAATTCGATATTCTCCCTCTGTTTTTATTTTCAATTTAAATTTGTAATCTGTATGGGGGTTACACATTTCACAAGTTTCCATTCAATTCGTTATTCTCAAAAAAGCTGTAAAAATAAAAGAAAGAGAAAGATCCGTCCTTTTACTACCGCTTTTTATGTCTTTACGACCACCTCAAACTTTCACCCACTCACTCTTCCCTCAGTTATGGCCTCTGCCTTCTCTCTTTTCTCACTACACTATTCTCCCTTTCTCTCCTCGCCAGTATTTCTTCATTTTCAGATCCGACATTACAACACTTTCCTAATTCGTTCAACAACATTCTTATTAACTTATGGGTTATTTTTCATGCAATGCAGAATCTGCAATCGCCACCTGCGATTCTTACAACTTACCAAAAAGGAATCGCAAAAATAAACCCTTTAAAATCAGAGAATTTTCTTACTCTGAGCTTCAGTCAGCTACCAATGCATTCTCTCAAGACAATCTTCTTGGCAAAGGCAGCCATGGATATGTCTACAAAGCTCATCTTCATCAAAATAAACTCAATACCGTAGCCGTTAAAAAAACCAAACAAACTGAACCACGTAACAGTTCTGCCAATTCCCCAGCTGAAAATGAGATCGAAATTCTTTCCCGAGTTCACCACCCTAGGCTCGTTAACTTACTGGGTTACGCAGTGGACAACAACCAGAATAAATTAATCGTCGTTGAGTTTATGCCTAATGGGTCTTTATATGAACTGCTTCATTCTTCTTCTAAACCTCCTAATTGGGCCCGAAGAGTCCGTTTTGCTCTGCAAATTGCAAAGGGAGTTCATTTTTTGCATTGTTCGAACCCGCCGGTGATTCACAGAGATATAAAATCGTCGAATATTTTAATCGATGGGAATTTTAGTGCTCGGCTTGGTGATTTTGGATTGTCTTTGAGAGGACACGTGGAAGATGTTATAGTAAAAAGTACGCCGCCGGCCGGTACGTTAGGGTATTTGGATCCTGCTTATCTTGCACCGGGCGATCTCAGTACAAAGTCCGATGTTTTTAGCTTTGGGATTTTGCTGCTGGAGATTATCAGCGGTCGGAATGCAATTGATGTTAATTACAGTCCGCCGTCAGTGGTGGATTGGGCGGTGCCGCTGATTAAATCCGGCGAATATGCAGAGATTTGTGACCCGAGAATCGGTTGGCCGGAGGACGATGGTGTTTTACGGCAGCTGGCGGTGGTGGCGGCGCGTTGTGTTAGAAAGACGGCGGCAAAACGGCCAGCGATGGCGGAAGTAGTGGAGTGGTTGAAAATGGTGCATAAACGGATGAGCTCGCCGATATGGAATAACATTGGGCGGCGCGTAGGGCGCGTGAGAGAGTCGACGCGCGTGGTTAAATACGAACCCCTGGATGATAGTATGGAAATTGTCAAGATCTCGAGAGTCGGAAGTAGAAGAAACAGGAAAGTATCCAATGTGACGAGCGTAGAATTAAGAAGTGTTGTGATTGGTGGAAATAGAAAGCAAGAAATCCAACCAGTTATTAGGTCAAAATCTATTGGTTCTCTTGATGAGATTGAATCTGAACCGTTAGATCTGGCCAACACCAGGAGGAAAGGAGGATTGGCTGTGAACATGCCTACAGTAAGGTTGAGTAAGTCAAGATCAATGGGCATGATACAAAGTAGTACAAGGTTAATGAACAAGAACAATATTAGTAATGGGGTTGTGGTTAAGTTTGTAAAGAAACCTAATGGAAAAGAATTAGAGGAGTCTAAATTGCTAGTTAATGTAGGAAAAGAATCCCCAAGGGGAGAGAATTGATTTGCATTATAAAATTTTTGCTGCTTGTGTTATTCATTTCCTTCTATTTTTTTAATTTGTACTTTTTTCTAAACATTAAGATTTTCTTGTGTCTTGAGAAGCTTTTTTTGTTGGAAGAGAGCTATATGATTAAACTCATTTATCACTTGAAAGAGAAATTGTGTTTGCTCATGGAATTGAAAATCTAACATATAGATGAGGGGTCATTTAATTTAATATGGCGCGAATTAGAGTATACATAGGCCCTGAATCAAGTACTGTTATCTGTCGGTACTGTTATCTGTCGGCAAGAAAAAAATCACATGTTTACTTTGTTAAAATGAATCAAATCCACACATGAGAGCATGCTTTTATATCTAAAGTAACTAAGTAAATATAAAATTTATCCATAAACTTACTTTACAAATATCACTAAAATTTTAATAGGATTGGAACTCGCTACAGTTCTCCCAAACTATTTAATGTAGACATATTCCAAAAGAAGCAAAAAATGCAGGTCACTTTCTCTCAAAAGTTGCAATACCATGTACTCATGAGTCATGCCCCTTTTATTCCCATTGTGTTAGCTGATTCTATGATATATAAATTTTTCATCTAATAAAAAGCATTAAAGTATTTGACTTTTCTTATTTTCGCCCAACATTAGAACTCATCTCTTAAGCATTCCTGTATCAATTAGTATTGTTAAATAGACATACTTTTGGAGTTTTGCTTCTCCTTTTCTGTCCTATTAATTAATAAGTGACGATTAAGATACAGTTGAACATGGTATTATGCATCAAAATGGCACCATCTATGTCATGTTCGTAAGGAAATCGAAAATTAAAGATACCAATAGTAGAAGATTAAAAACAATAAAGGTAATACTGAAAAGTAGCTAAGAAAGTAGGCATGGAGGAATGCTAGGAATGTTTAATGATGGAGATGTAACTGAGAGATCATAAAAGCTTCAGCCTCTTCAATAATAATGGAAATTAAGAGCATTTATGTATAGCGGCTTTAGCCCCTCCCATAATTATTTTCGTTTATCATAACTGTCGTGCATCAACTTTGAAGAATTGGTGACAAAGATGAAGCTTTCACTGCTCTATTAATGGAGCAGTGAATTAGGGTACATGCAGAGAAGATCCTTCTAGAATCTGAGATCTGGAAATGAAGAAGAAGAAGGAATGTTTTCTCATTAAGCTAAAGAATACAAGGACTGCTTTTTATAGATGAAAGCAGCTAACTTCACGTGCACTACATGTGCAATTAACTAACTCTTAATCGCACTTCTAACTACTGCTTTAACAGTAGTAACAACCTTCTAATATAACTAGACTTTAACCATAGTTAACTCAGCTTAGTTAGCAACTATTTCAATACTCCCCCTCAAGTTGGAGGGTGGAATACATCGAGCACTCCAAGCTTGGATAGAAGGTGCTGATGCTGAGTAGTTCCCAGAGCTTCAGTTAACAAATCTGCTAGTTGATGTTTGGTATTGACATGCTCAGGCACTATCAACCTTTCTTTGATCATGCCTCTCACAAAGTGGCAATCAATCTCAATATGTTTCGTCCTCTCATGATAGATGAGATTGGAGGCAATCTATATAGCTGCTTTACTATCACAAAACAACTTCACAGGTGTGGTGACAGGTACATTTAGTTCTCTCAGCAGCCCTGTTATCCATATCACCTCTGAGACTGCAACTGCCATGCTCCTATACTCTGCCTCTGTTGAGCTTCGACTCACAGTGTGCTGCTTCTTTGATTTCCACGATATGATAGAATCCCCTAGTTTTATTATGTAGCCAGTCACAGATCTTCTAGTGTTTGGGCAGGCTGCCCAATCACTGTCACAAAATGCAGTCAGTTCTGTGCAAGGACTGTTCTTCAGCAAAATCCCTTGACCTGGTGACCCTTTCAAATACCTAACCAGCCTAAATGCTGCTTCCCAATGTGAAGTTTTAGGTTGTTGCATGAATTGGCTTAGGACCTGTACAACAAAGCTAATATCAGGTCTAGTGATGGTTAAGTAGAGTAATTTCCCAATGAGCTTCTGATAAGGAGTAGCATCTGGAAGTATATGATCTGTAATACCCCCTACATGTTCATCATAATCCATAGTAGTGAACTTAGCATTTACTTCCAAAGGTGTATTCACAGGCTTAACTCCACTCAAGCCAACATCAGAGATCAACTCTAGAGTGTATTTTCTCTGATTGAGCAATATGCCATCATGTGATCAGAAAATTTCAATTCCTAGGAAATACCTTAGTTCACCTAGGTCTTTGACTTTGAAATTATTGTGCAATGTACTCTTTGCTTGGTCAATTAATCTTTTGTTGTTCCCAGTGATAAGTAGATCATCTACATACACTAAGACAATGACTAGTTCCTTACCTTCCTTCTTTGTGAACAAAGAATGATCATATGGACTTTGAATGTACTTGGCTGATTGTAGTGCATTTGTGAGTTTGATATTCCACTGTCTAGAGACTTATTTCAAGCCATATAGTAACTTCAACAGCTTACAGACTTTATACTCCCCCTGCTTTTGAAGCCCCTAAGGTAAATCCATATAGACTTCCTCTAATAGGTCACCTTGTAGGAAAACATTATTTACATCCATCTGATATAGAGGCCAATTCTTTGAGGCTGCAATACTGATCAATGTTCTGATGGTCACCATTTTAGCAATTGGTGAGAAAGTCTCATGATAATCTAAACCTTCCTGCTGAGTGTACCTTTTTGCCATGATTCTGGCTTTGTACTGGTTTACTTCTCCATTTGGTTTGTATTTGACTTTCTACACCCATTTTGATCCAACTGCCTGCTTCCCTTTAGGGAGATCCACCAATTCCGAGGTCTGATTTTGTTCTAAGGCATTGACTTTCTTCTGCATAGCTTCAATCTATTTTTGATCTTGGGATGCTTCCTTAAAATTCTTGGGCTCTGTGGGTGATGAGAACAAATTTAGGTATTCTTGATACCTAGTGGATAAGTGATCATACTCCACATAGTTATTGATGGAGTATAAGCAATTAGGGGCATCGCTTCTAGAGGTTACATAATCTTTAAGCCATATTGGTGGCTTGGTATTTCTCTTGCCTCTGCCATTGTCTACAACTGCTTCAGTAGTGGTAGGCTGTTCTGCAGCATGAGGCTCTTCTGCCATTGATTCAACCTCTTGTAATGAAATACCATGTGTCTCCATTGGATCATCAGCATCTGCAGGATCCTCAGCATGTTGAGAAGGTGATGTGCTATCTGCTGCATTTGTTTCATGAGTGGCAATGGTGGGAGTTTCAGCTTCTGTTTGCCATGTTGGTTCTTCTGTTACTGTAGTATTATTATTATGATCATGCTGCATCACATGAGAGTGGTCTGGTGGTGATGTTGCATCATTTATTTGCATGAACAGGACTTCCTCCTCATGTTCAACTAGCACGGCTCTGAAAGGAAGGATCCTTTCTGTGAAACTTACATCCCTGCTATCAAAAAAGGTTTTGGAATCTAGGTCAAATAGCCTATATCTCTTTTGAACCTCAGAATACCCCATCAGAACTATCCTCCTTGCCCTTGGGGCCAGTTTATCACCCCTGCGCAGGCTACTTGCATAACATAAACAACCAAACACCCTTAGGTGATCTAGCCTAGGTTCTTTACCATAAAGCAATGCATAGGGTATTTTTCCATCTAGTACAGTAGTAGGTAATTTGTCGATCAAATAGACTACAGTTTTCACACACTCTCCCAAAACTTAGTTGGAATTGAACTATGTATTTTAAAAGCCCTTGCTACCTCGAAGATGTGTCTATGTTTTCTCTCAACTATTCCATTTTATTGAGGAGTATAGACACAACTACTTTGATGAACTATACCATAGGAAAACAACATCTCATTACATTGTGAACCAAAAAATTCTGTGCCATTGTCTGATCTCGGTACTTTTACACAAACATAAAGCTAATTTTTTACCATCACTAAGAAGTCTTTAAGTACAATTGAAACTTCACATTTGGATTGAATCAAACAGACCCAAGTATATATGCTGTAATCATCTTCTATAGTAACAAAATATTGTTTTCTGTCAAACGTTGGCTTTCTATAGAGGCCCCAGACATCAACATGAATCAATTGAAAAATACTACTAGATTTACTCTTACTAACAGGAAAGCTTAACCTGATCTGCTTTGCCATTGGGCATACTGAGCAATTCTCCTATACTGTATTATTGACTTTATTCTTTAAGCTAGGAATATATTGCATAGCAACTGTTGATGGATGTCCCAATCTAAGATGCCATAGTTCTGCTTCATTCACTTCTTCAGTTACTGTTGCTCCTACTATGGGTTTGAACTCTCTTTGTAGAATGTAAAGACTATTACTCTCTCTACCAATCCCCATTACCTTGCCATTGTAGAGTCCCCGAAACACACAGAATTTAGGGAAGAAAGTGACTCTACACTGCAATTCCTTGGTTAACTTTGACACTAAAAGCAGACTGAATTTGAAATCTGGGACATGTAGTACATTTGTGATTTTTTGGCTTCCTAAAATCATTGTACTTCCTGCACATGCTATGGAAGATCTACTTCCTATTGGCACCTGCACTCTACTGTCTTGTTATTTTTCTAAACTTCTTAGTTCATCTAATAGTTCCTTGCATGTTGTAATATAATGAGATGCTCCAGAATCAATTATCCATTAACAAACATATGTACTAGATAGCAATGTAACAATACATGCCATCACATTTAAGGTGTTATCATTTGATGGTGGCTAGTTTAGGAGGTCCATCAACTGTGAGTATTCTTCCTCAGTGAAGAAATGTCTTTGCTGCTGAGCTTCAGTAGTTTCATTATTGGCATATGGTTTGAATCCTCCACTAGGCTTTGCTCTGCCGCCCTGCTGACCTGAAACTAAGGGTGTCTAACAGGCCGGGTCAACCTGTTTCCGGACCGGCCCAGATCGCTTGAAACCGGAATCGGCCCAGACCGGTACGAAGGGGGTCGGGAGGGCTGTGTTAATGGGGTAAGGGGGTTGGTCCGTTTACCTTCGTGCAATCGGACCGGTCAAACCCGGTCAATACGATTTACTGTAGAATTAGTTAACCGGCCCGGCCCGGACCGGCCCAGACCGGTATAGCGGCTACTTTTAATTTTTTTTAATGTTTCTACTTTTTGACCGTTCGCCCAACGGTTGTTTTGCACATTTAGCCCTTTTTGTGCCAATATTTTTTTTTAAATTTAACACTTTTTGTAATTACTAATTTAGCCCTTTGAAAAACTATAAATACACCCCCCTCTTCTTCATTTCTTCACTCATCTCTCATTTCTCAAACTCAAATTCTCAATTCAAGTTAAATCATGCCCCATACTTCTAGAGTGCGCTCATATGTTTGGGAAAACGAGGTGGTAGTAATGAAGAAGTTCACAAAGTAAAGTGCTAGAACTGTGGTCGAGTCTTAAATCTTCGTACAAAGTGTGTGGGCACAGGCTGTTTAAGGAGGCATATGAAGAGTTGTCTTGAGCGTCCTCCAGAAATTCGTATTTAAGTTGATTTGAGAAAATTTATGTTATTTTAAAATTATTAGACGTATTTATGCTTAATGTTTTAGTTTGTTAGATTAATTTGAAGCATTATTATGCATGAAAATTTAGTTTTACTCTTTTTTCGTTAATTTACTTGTTAAATGCAAACTTCAATTTGTAATTTTGAAATAAATGTAGCACTTGCAATTTATAAGTATAATTTTTCCCATATTCATTGTATTATTTATATTTTTACTTTATATTAATATAACTTACAATAGTTATACAAAATACAAAAAAAAAAAAAAAATTAAAAATTACACTAACTCGGCCCGGCCCAGCCTTTTGTACGCGTAACCTTTACGGTTCATTTTTTACCCGGATGAACCCGAACCCGTTAAGCCCGGTAACTCCTAACTCGTAACTGGCCCGGTTCGTAACCCGTACGATTCCAACATTTCCCTACCCAGCCCGGCCCGGCCCACCCGTTAGACATCCTTACCTGAAACTCCACTAAATTATCTAGTTTTCTTCTTACTCTTAAAATCTGGGGGATAACCTATAATTTTGTAGCAATTTTCCTTCAAATGACCTTTATACCCACAATGTTCACAAATCAACCCTATGCCTTTAGGCTTGAATCCTTGTGCCCTTCTTGCTAACATAGTGAGTGGATCCCTCTGTATATCTACCACACTAAGTGTTCTTTGATTTTCCTCTTGTGGCACAATTACATAGGCTTCATTAATAGTAAATACTGGTCTCCTTGCTAGTATGTTACTCCTTACATTCCCATAGCTTTCATTTAAGCCCATAAGGAACTGCAACACACGCTGAGATTTCAGATGTTTAATTGAAGGTCTTGACTCTTCACAATCACAACAAGAAATTGGGGCCAAAACATCCACTTCATCCCATAGATCTTTCATTTTAGTGTAATAGTTTGTTACTGAATCTGTTCCCTGTCTCATCATTGCAATCTCAGACCAAAGGTAATAGATCCTTGTTAGGTTTGAACGATCAAATATCTCCTGAAAATCATTCCACACCTTCCTAGCATCTGAGGCATAAACGATCCTTGGCATCAATTGGTTCGAAACTGTACTTCCAATCCAAGATAGTACTATCGCGTTGCATTTTTCCCATTGCTCAACCAATTCACCTCTGTACCTACTTTTAGTACATGCACCATCTACAAATCTAAGCTTACCTTTTTCTCTCAGTGCTAGCTTCATTGCCCTGCTCCATAAGGCATAATTTTCTGGCACTGCGAGCTTAATTGGGATTAAAACTAGTCGTGGAGTGTCTCGTGCTTGAAGAAATAGCGGGTGGTTATGGTCGAGTGAGATTACCTCGTCTCCAGCCTTGTCTACCAAAAATTGTTTCAATTTCGCCGGATCTTCTCGCAGGATCAAATCCTCACGATCGCAGCTCTGATACCATGAAGAATTGGTGACAAAGATGAAGCTTTCACTGTTCTATCAATGGAGCAGTGAATTAAGGCACATACAGAGAAGATCTTTCTAGAATCCGAGATTCGGAAATGAAGAAGAAGAAGGAATGTTTTCTCATTAAGCTGAAGAATACAAGGACTGCCTTTTATAGATGAAAGCAGCTAACTTCACATGAAGAATTGATGACAGAGATGAAGCTTTCACAATGGAGCAGTGAATTAGGGCACATGCAGAGAAGATCCTTCTAGAATCTAAGATCTGGAAATGAAAAAGAAGAAGGAATGTTTTCTCATTAAGCTAAAGAATACAAGGACTGCCTTTTATAGATGAAAGCAGCTAACTTCACGTGCACTACATGTGCAATTAACTAACTCTTAATAACACTTCTAACTACTGCTTTAACAGTAATAACAATCATCTAATATAGCTAGACTTTAATCATAGTTAACTCAGCTTAGTTAGCAACTATTTCAATAAACTTGTAAGAATATTAAGTGTCGATCTTGCAATACTCATACGATCGAGTCATAGGCGAAATCAGGATATGAAATTTACATGTTTTTATAATGATCTCAAGTTCATATTAAAATAATAATTGAATTTACGATTAAATATTTAATAATTTTTTAAATATATATACAAGATTCGAATAAAAGTTATTAGATTTGTATGAACTTAGATTCGTCCTAATACGGCAACAAATTGTAGAAACGATTCAATGTCCTACACGAATTAGCAGGTATACATAGATTTGATAGCAGTGTGCA